AGAATAGAATAGAATAGAATAGAATAGAATAGAATAGAACAGAACATTCCTGGGGTTCCTCACTGTCTCCATGTGGTACGCTTTGGGGTACAAATATGAGAGTCAGGTGCTGGGAGTTGCTAATATTCAACGCGTAACAACAATAAACCTTTAAGTCCCAGTTATGGTTCCTCCATCAGGAAGTCTGGTTAATGAATTTGCCATGGTTCCTGCTTCTGTCTCTCCCTTTCTTGTCTTTAAATGTCTTATGGAACTTATCTGCTTACAAGGAATAGGACAAGGAGCGAAGACTGTATTTCCTCCAAATGTTCTCCAACATCCGACAGATTAGGTCCAGCTGCAAAGAGAGAGAGAGAAAAGAATGTCCCTGGATCCTTAAGGAAAGGCCCTCAGCTTCACTAATGCCGATTCCCAAAAGAATGTTAGTTCAACGCCGACAATCTGCCTATCAACTTCACAGTATTAGGAATAGAATAGAATAGAATAGAATAGAATAGAATATAGAATAGAATAGAATAGAATAGAATAGAATAGAATAGAATAGAATAGAATAGAATAGAATAGAATAGAATATAGAATAGAATAGAATAGAATAGAATAGAATAGAATAGAATAAATATTGGAGAATAGAATAGAATAGAATAGAATAGAATAGAATAGAATATGGAATGGAATGGAATGGAATGGAATGGAATGGAATAGAATAGAATAGAATAGTGTTTCTTTCTAGAAAAAAAACACTAGATGGCTTTCCGGAAAATGCTAGATGGTTTTCTGGGGGGGAGGGAGTGCTAGATGGCTTTCTGGAAAACACTAGATGGCTTTTTGGAAAAATGCTAGATAACTTTCCAGAAAAGCTCTAGATGGTTTTCCAAGCTAAAAAACCCCCCAGCTATATGGCTTTCCAGAAAAATGCTATATGGCTTTCCAGGAAAACAGTCATTGGCTTTCCAGAAAAAAAGCTAGATCGCTTTCCAGAAGGAAAAAAAAAGCTAGATCACTTTCCAGGAAATGAAACCACAAAAGCGTTTGCTTTGAAAATCATCCATGCTGCTCTTTCAACTCTGTTTCGTTCCCGTGAAAAAAACCAAACACGCAAACGCTTCTTGAGAGCTAAACCGAGGTAAGCAATTCGCAATCCCTCTTCTCCTTTTTTTGCAACGTTATTCTTGCAAGCAAGAGCATATTTTCCTATCATTTTGAGAAGCGGAAACGGATGAAAACTATAACGCAAGCCAAAAATGGGCGCGTTGCTGTTAAAAAAGACGATTTAGCAAAGCCCCGGGCTTCTTAGGAAATGTGGCCACGCCCACTTGGCTCCCCCCAACCTTCCCTTCCCAAAAAGATTGCCCAAATTTGATACAAGAAATTTTTCCCAAGAAATTTATTTCGCTTTATTTATTTTTTTTAAAGAAACCTACCAGTTTCGAAACGTAATCTACTGCTATTTGATCTATCTTCTTTTTGCCGACATACTGCAGGGGTCTCAGGAGGTGATCTTTCAACTGTGCCACCATCTGTAAAAAATATGTGAACAACTAAAATCAAAATATTAAAGTGTGTGTTTGACTTGTAAAGCATTGCACAAAACAGGCCTCACCTCCGTGCAAAATTTTAGGTCTGCGATCAAAGAGCAAAGAGTATTATTTCTGCTGTCAAGAAGTAATGTTGTGAGTTGGGAGCAACTGATGAGTTTTCTGCACAACAAAAAGCATGTCTGTGTGTAAATCACTATATCTGTTCCAGAGAACTAGCAACAAAAGACTGGAACCTCAGTTATTAAGAATGTCTAGCAAGGGAACAATTCTGCGGTCTTTCTGCTCGTGGACCATCGGTGGATTCTTTTCAACCATCCGTTGTCAAAATATCACAGTCCAATTAGGAAAAAAAACGCTCTAATTTAAAATGACAAGAACCATCTAACTTTCACTGATCTTCAAAAGACTTAAGGCAGTTGGTTCCAGTTAATACTTGGATCGGAGACACTGAGAGTTCTCGATCTTTTAGGATAGAGAAAGCCAAGCAAAATATTTTGGCAGGACGCAGTGCAAGCTACTTCCACCCTGTTGCCAAGATAACGACATGGACGTGTTCATGAAATCACCAAAAGTTGAACTTGTGGAGCCAAACTTCATATTTTTAAATTGGCTAGGTAGCAGCACTTTCTACTTGAAAAGTTTATGAACGTTTCGGCCTAGCTGTTTTGCCAATGAAGAGAAACAGAAGCAGATCAAGGAATAATAGGGTGGGGAAGGGACCTTGGAGGTCATCTAGTCCAACCCCCTGCTCAGGCAGGAAACCCTACACCATTTCACACAAATGGTTGTCCACTCTCTTCTTAAAAACTTCCAGTGTTGGAGGACCCACAACTTCTGGAGGCAGGTTGTTCCACTGGTTAATTGTTCTCAGTGTCAGGAAGTTTCTCCTTAGTTCTAGGTTGCTTCTCTCCTTGATGAGTTTCCATCCGTTGCTTCTTGTCCTGCCTTCAGGCGGTTTGGAGAATAGCTTGACTCCCTCTTCTTTGGGGCAGCCCCTGAGATATTGGAACACGGCTATCATGTCACCCTAGTCCTTCTTTCCCTTAGATTAGACATATGCAATTCTTCAACTGCTCTTTCTATGTTTCAGCCTCCAATCCCCTGATCATCTCTGTTGCTCTTCTATTAAAAATAATATCTACTGTATATTTTCTGGTTACCCTTGTAGTACTAGGGATTTCCTAATGTGAAGTCAAGAATGCACCTACCAATCCTGTTAGCAAGCGTTGGTGGTAATCCTCATCTTGAAAAAGAGGAGCTATTCTTTCTTCTGAAAGAGAGAAAGAGAGAGAGAGGGGGGAAGAAAGAGAAAGAGAAAGAGAGAAAGAAAAAGAAAGAGAGAGGGAGAGGGAGAGAGACGGAAAGAGAAAGAGAGAGAGAAAGAGAGAGGAAGAAAGAGAAAGAGAGAAAGAAAGAGAAAGAGGGAGAGAAAGAGAGGAAGAGAGACAGAAAGAGAAAGAGAAAGAGAGAGAGAGGAAGAGAGAGAGGAAGAAAAAGACAGAGAAAGAAAGAGAAAGAGAGAGGAAGAGAGACAGAAAGAGAAAGACAGAGAAAGACAGAGAAAAAGAAAGAGAGAAAGAGAAAGAGAGAGGAAGAGAGACAGAAAGAGAAGAGAAAGAGAGAGAGGAAGAAAGAGACAGAGAGAAAGAAAGAAAGAAAGAAAGAAAGAAAGAAAGAAAGAAAGAAAGAAAGAAAGAAAGAAAGAAAGAAAGAGAGAGGAAGAAAGAGAAAGAGAGAGGAAGAAAGAGAAAGAGAGAAAGAGAAAGAGGGAGACAGAAAGAGAGGAAGAGAGACAGAAAGAGAAAGAGAGAGAGAGGAAGAGAGAGAGGAAGAAAAAGACAGAGGAAGAAAGAGAAAGAGAGAAGAGAGCCAAAAAGAGAAAGAAAAAGAGAGAAAGAAAGAGAGAGAGGAAAAGAGAGAGGAAAAAGACAGAGAAAGAAAGAGAAAGAGAGAGGAAGAGAGACAGAAAGAGAAAGACAGAGAAAAAGAAAGAGAGAAAGAGAAAGAGAGAGGAAGAGAGACAGAAAGAGAAGAGAAAGAGAGAGAGGAAAAAAGAGACAGAGAGAAAGAAAGAAAGAAAGAAAGAAAGAAAGAAAGAGAGAGGAAGAAAGAGAAAGAGAGAGGAAGAAAGAGAAAGAGAGAAAGAGAAAGAGGGAGACAGAAAGAGAGGAAGAGAGACAGAAAGAGAAAGAGAGAGAGAGGAAGAGAGAGAGGAAGAAAAAGACAGAGAGGAAGAAAGAGAAAGAGAGAAGAGAGCCAAAAAGAGAAAGAAAAAGAGAGAAAGAAAGAGAGAGAGGAAAAGAGAGAGGAAAAAGACAGAGAGAAAGAAAGAGAGAGACAGAAAGAGAAAGAGAGAAAGACAGAGAGAAAGAAAGAGAGAAAGAGAGAGACAGAAAGAAAGAGGAAGAGAGAGGAAGAGAGACAGAGAGAAAGAGAGGAAGAAAGAGACAGAGAGAAAGAGAGAGAGGAAGAAAGAGACAGAGAGAAAGAAAGAGGAAGAGAGAGGAAGAGAGACAGAAAGAGAAACATTTCAACATGTTCTGATTACCAGCAACACCATTACAGAGATTAGAGATTTCATGACAGATTTTATACATTCATTTTAATGGGAGATGCAGAATAAAATGAACAATATATGCATGCACTCCTCAGATTACCACCACTCGTTCAGCCACCATTCAAACGGGCAACAGCAGTCGTGGAGGATTTACGACAGGTCCTCTGAGTTCTGACTATCCTTGAAGCATCCCATTGCGATTCGGGAGCCCGGATCGCGATTAGGACACGGCAACAAGCTGCACCACAGGAACACAATTTCCACTGATCCTTGCCGGCTTCCCACAGGTAAAGTCAACGTGGAAGCTATCAGGAACTGGAAAGTCCGGGTCCTGTGATGCCCTCGCTGAACAACCCACACAATCCTTGCTTAACGAGGTCAACTGGGATTGCCGTCACTAAGCAACACAATCACGCGAGGTCACACTTTACAACCGTGTCACTTAGCGATGGCGCTTCCGGTCCAAATTGCCATCACAAACTCAAGGGCGACTTGAAATTTATTTTAAATATTTCCACCAAATAATAGATTGAAACACAGCATTCTTTTAAACAACAACAAAAAAACCAATTACATGTACCCATAGATATATGTACACACATAGACCCCTATTTATAAACGTATCTTTGCCTTTTTTTTCATTAGGTTAATATAGGATAACATGTCTGATTTTATAGCCAAATGTTATATATTAGCTATAGTTATAGTTTTCATCTACTTCAGGGGTAGGCAACCTTGGCTCTTTTATGGCTCGTGGACTTCAGCTCCCAGAATTCCTGAGCCAGCATTGCTGGCTCAGGAATTCTGGGAGCTGAAGTCCACGAGCCATAAAAGAGCCAAGGTTGCCTACCCCTGATCTACTTCCACTTCTCAAAGTGGTAGAGAATATATGAATTATGGTGGCACTCAGAAGAAGCTAAGAACTTGTTAAGGTGCTATGCTTGCGTGCATAAACGTGTAACTTCCTGAAAACCAGTCTCTTGATGTTCTCCACATGTGCCACCACCATTTCCAATCTACAAGACCATATGTAAACCACGGTTTATCTACATAAGCCACACAGGAAGCAACCACAGGAAGAAGCTTCTCTACAAGTTTAGACACAATAATATGTTTACTCGAGATACGCTCAGCTCCTGTGCCACAAAGTCTGAGAAAAGAGCTATCATATCCAAGGAAATTGTTTTTCCTCCCCGCAAGTCAGGAACAACAGTTTCACAGAATTTGTGGAATCAGAAAGGACTTCCTTTCCCTTTCCGAAGTTGACATTTATAAGTTACAGACCGTACAAACTCTCTCTGAAGAAGAAAACAAGGAGTGTCACCCTAGATTAGAAGTACATCTACTATCTTTGAAGAGAAACTCAGCTCGAAGTAAGGAAAACACTTCATTTCCTTAAGCACAATAACTACCAAATAACAACAACAAGAAGAGTTGGAAGGGACCTTGGAGGTCTTCTAGTCCAACCCCCTGCTCAGGCAGGAAACCCTAGACCATTTCAGAGAAATGGCTGTCCAGTCTCTTCTTAAAAACTTCCAGTGTTGGAGCATTCACAACTTCTGGAGGCAGGTTGTTCCATTGGTTAATTCTTCTCACTGTCAGGAAGTTTCTCCTTAGTTCCAGGTTGCTTCTCTCCTTGATGAGTTTCCATCCGTTGCTTCTTCTCCTGCCTTCAGGTGCTTTGGAGAATAGCTTGACTCCCTCTTCTTTGGGGCAACCCCTGAGATACTGGAAGACTGCTATCATGTCCCTCCTTGTCCTTCTCTTCATTAAACTAGACCTACCCAATTCCACCAACCGTTCCTTGTATGTTTTAGTAGGAAACCAATGGATCTCCAGATCCTGTGAAACAATGATGCTCAGCTGGGAACGAGGGAAACTGTTACTTACAAACTTTTGAGATCAAGAAACACTTACCTGTTTCCCACGTGGGCAAACTGGACAGCACCCTAGAAGAAAGGGAGCAATGTTTCTTAACAGCTTCAGTGGAGGGAGACCTTAAAAAAGCCAATGTCAATCGGATGTTCTTGCTTTGACAACCTATGGAGATGCAGCCATTTTCCTTCTTACGTTTTACTCTTAGAATTGGAGTTAGAATTAGATGATACTGGGGGGGAGGAGGAGGAATGTGCATGGGAGTTTAGTTAGACATAACAATACTGTAACTAGGGTGAGAACCAAGGTTTTTGAAATAAGAGATGATAAGAATTGGCGGGCTGGAGTAAAGGAGGGGAAGCCTGCATTTCAAACAAATTGGAGAATGTGATTTATGACTGTTAACTAGAGGAGGGAATTGTGCTTTGATACTATGTGCTCAGGGGAGGGGAATTCAGATTTTGGCTTCGCCGATGTACGTGCCGAAGTTATGCTACTTGAATAAAGATTCTTTAAGGTAAACAATGCCTCCAAGTTCTTTGAAGAGTTTCATCTGTCGGAACCATGACAGCCAACGCATCTATACAAGATCTATAGAAGTCGTTCTCAACTTACAAACAGTTTGTTTAGGGACCATTCAAAGTGACAAACCGCACTGAAAAAAGGGACTTATCCCCCCCCCCGCTTTATTTCATTTATTTCTGACACCCGTGGACAACGGCCCATTGTAGGGCCATCGGATTTTATGATGGCAAAAAGATGCTCGACTCACTTTTTCGTGTTTTCAAATATGCTTTTGACGTAAGAAGTCCTGGATGCAGTCTTCTGTGAATAAGGTTATGCAAAAGAGTCAATTTACTCTCTCAGTATTTCATAAGAGCTGCATTCAATAGACAGGTTGTGCTCCTTCCTTCCTTCCTTCCTTCCTTCCTTCCTTCTTTCCTTCCTTCCTTCCTTCCTTCCTTCCTAGACTTAGCAATAGCACTTAGACTTATATACCGCTTCACAGTGCTTTACAGCCCTCTCTAAGTGGTTTACAGGGTTAGCCTGTTGCCAACAATCTGGGTCCTCATTTTACTAACCTCAAAAGGATGGAAAGCTGAGTCAACCTTGAGCCGGTCAGGATCAAACTGCTAGCAGTGGGCAGAGTTTTCCTGCAATGCTGCCTTCTAAGCCCTGAGTCGCCACGGCTGACTTACCTCCTCGGAAAGCAGTTTATCCCATTCCCTCTTCAGCACCGTGTGGCTGAAATGCAAGGGCGTTTCGACACACTTCATGTATTCCAGGTTCAAATTCAACTTTTCCCAGAAGCCTTTGCAGTTTCGCACCTCCAGCAGGCAAATAAACGGGAAGAAAGAGAGAGAGAGAGGGTTTTCCGTTAGAGTTATTTCCTCCTCGGCCTTGTGACAAATGGCCCACAGGCGGTCAACAGCTTGCTATATGCTCCCATGTAACACCGTTGCTGCGCGAGCTGCACTGGCTGCCGGTAGCTTTCCGGATGCGCTTCAAGGTGCTGGTTATCACCTTCAAAGCGCTCCATGGCATCGGACCTGGATATCTCCGAGACCGCCTTCTGCCGCAGATTACCTCCCATTGGCCGGTACGCTCCCACAGAGTGGGTCTCCTCAGGGTGCCGTCAGCCAGACAGTGCCGGCTGGCGACCTCCAGGGGGAGGGCCTTCTCGGTGGGAGCTCCCACCCTCTGGAACGAACTACCCCCAGAGATCCGGGTGATCCCGGATCTCCCTTCCTTCCGCCGCGCCCTTAAGACATGGCTATTTCAACAAGCAGGACTGGCCTAAGGGGAAATTTTTAGCGGGGTTTTAAAAACAATTTTAAATTAAATACGGCCAAATCTAATATTTCATTTTAATTATGTTTTTAAATGATAGTTTTGGGGTATTTTTGTATTTGTATTTTATCAGGCTGTCAGCCGCCCTGAGTCCGCAAGGAGAAGGGCGGGGTAAAAATTCAATTAAATAAATAAATAAATAAATAAATAAATAAATAAATAAATAAATAAATAAATAAATAAATAAATAAATAAATAAATAAGCGTTCGAAGTTACAGTGGCATTAAAAAATGCAAACTAACAACAACAGAAAATTCTGGCTCCATTTTGGTCGTAACGCAAAGGCAACTCTGCGTTGTATTTAACTTGTTTTCGAGACGGATATCAGCAGGAGTGAAACCGCTGTGTTGTCAAAGTATCGTTTGTCGAGGTTGAGATTTGGGGGACCATTATTTTTCAATGTCTGTAATACCCTCCGAATCTTTGTGGAGATGTGGATAATGATCAATAATAAAATTTTTAAAAGTATGATCAGTACTTTGGCCCCTACGTGATTTGTGGACTTCAACTCCCAGAATTCCTCAGCCAGCACGGGGGAACTATGGACCCTTCATGACTTGTGGACTTCAACTCCCAGAATTCCTCAGCCAGCACGGGGGAACTATGGACCCTTCATGACTTGTGGACTTCAACTCCCAGAATTCCTCAGCCAGCACGGGGGAACTATGGACCCTTCATGACTTGTGGACTTCAANTTCCTCAGCCAGCACGGGGGAACTATGGCCCCTTCATGACTTGTGGACTTCAACTCCCAGAATTCCTCAGCCAGCACGGGGGAACTATGGACCCTTCATGACTTGCGGACTTCAACTCCCAGAATTCCTCAGCCAGCACGGGGGAACTATGGACCCTTCATGACTTGCGGACTTCAACTCCCAGAATTCCTCAGCCAGCACGGGGGAACTATGGCCCCTTCATGACTTGCGGACTTCAACTCCCAGAATTTCTCAGCCAGCATGGGGGAACTATGGCCCCTTCATGACTTGTGGACTTCAATTCCCAGAATTCCTGAGCCAGCATGGGAGAACTATGGCCCCTTCATGACTTGTGGACTTCAACTCCCAGAATTCCTCAGCCAGCATGCCTGGCTGAGGAATTCTGGGAGTTGAAGTCCACAAGTCATAAAAGGGCCAAGTTTGAAGACCCCGGTTCTTAAATGATGGTTAGCAAATGCTAGGAATTAGATAAGGATCTACGAAATTCAAGGAGGGATTGTTTGTAGCTATGTAGGGATTCTAGGCTGATCCCTCTTTTGACTCCACCCTCCAGTTTCTGCCACTGCCTCTCTCTTAACATACATAATGCATCATCCATCCGTTCAGTTTTAGTGCTGATCGTGTTTAACTCAGCCATTTTGAAATGACAACTTTTTACCACACCCTTATACAGCTGGCAGCTGTTATCACGTAATCCTTTCATTTTAAAATCCAATTTTCCTGCGCAGCACGACCGTTCCAGTTCTCCTACAGTTATAATAGCAATATTAAACCGATCAACCCGGGATGCTCAATTCATTAAAATGTGATCATCCGGCGAGAATTGCAAACAAAGCAACAGACACTACTGGGCACAGCAGTGCTTCACAAATGAAAGGGCACAAGTGTTCCCTCTGTGACAAATTCCTGCTTAGTAAATCATTAATAAAATATGCCAAACTAATTTGTCCTCCCGCGTTAACTGGAACTGCTTTGTTGAACACAGCTCCAAGTGCTAGAATCATCTCCATGTGCAAATGTTAAATATATGATGTCATGATGCTAGTTATAGAAGACTCCTTGGAACAATTACGCCTCTTTTGATATAATCGCTTGGAATGGATGCAGACCAGGACTGACCTCAAGTGGTAACTTTAAAAAACTGACTGCAAACTCTTCATATAGTCAAACTGGTTTTAAGCGATTTTCAATTCTGGTCTGGAATCAGGCAGAGAATAAGGCCTGGAGACTAAAACATATGAAGAACGGTCGCAGGAATTGGGTATGGCTAGTCTAGAGAAAAGAAGGACTACGGGTGACGTGGTAACAGTAGTCCAGCATTTGAGGGGCTGCCACAAAGAAGAAGGGGGTCAATTTATTTTCCAAAGCACCAGAAGGCAAGACAAGAAACAATGGATAGAAAAGGAGAGAAGCAACCTGGAATTAAGGAGAAACTTCCTAACAGTGAGGACAATCAACCAGTGGAACAGCTTGCCACCAGACATTGTGGGTGCTTCATCACTGGAGGTTTTTAAGAAGAGACTGGACAGCCACTTGTCTGAAATGGTACAGAGTCTGCTGTCTGAGCAGGGGGCTGGACTAGAAGACCTCCAAGGTCCCTTCCAGATCTGTTCTGATTGAAATTGATTATGGGATTTGGGGAAGATGGAGACTAGATTTCCAAAATACAGTTGGGATGTTATGTCTGAACCAGCCAAATTATCTCGAAGAATACAGACAGTCCTTGACTTACAGCCGTTTGTTTAGTGACCGTTCAAAATTACAACGGCACTGAAAAAAAAAATGACTTATGATCGGTTGTCGCACTTAATAATGGAGCATCTCCATGGTGACATGATCAAAATTCAGATACCTACTAACTGGTCTGTATATTTGTGACAGTTGCAGACGCTGTCCCTGATTTCTGACACAGCAAAATCAATCAGATAAGCCAAACTGCAGTGTTAATCAGTTAACAAAACTGCAGTGATTTGCTTACAACGGCAGCAAAGAAGTCATAAAATGGGGCACAACTTACTTCACGGGAAATCTCTTCCGTAACTATGAATCCTGTTCCACGATAGGGTATTTATTACAGGAAAAGTTATCCACTGAAACGGAGTGTAAATTAAAAGTCCCAAGCACGTATTATCATGTTTGGTGGGCATGTGATAAAGTAAAGAATTATTGGAAAAAGATACATACCTGGCTAGAAAAGATGTTAGGAGAACATGTTGATTTTAAACCTGAACTTTTTTTATTAGGTGCAATGCCAAAAAAGACTAACAAACAAAGTTTATACTTGACTTTGCATGTCGCAACAGCGGCAAGAATTATATTTGTGCAACACTGGAAAAATGAAGGAATACCATCAGATGAAGAAATAATTTTTAAAAATGCTAGAATGCGCGGAGATGGACAGATTGACTATGAGACTGAAAGAAAAAGAAGAAACGGACTATTATCAAACTTGGGGTTTATTTTACCATCGGCTGGAGGAAAGAAGAAAAGATTAGGAATTAAATATGGATTAGCATGTAAACCCAGACAGCACGTTGGTTGAAAAATTATTATTGTACGTATGGAAAAAATGAATAAAAAAACTTATACACAAAAAAATAAAAGTCCCAAACATGCCCTACTTCACTATATTGTTAGAATATTTTTATTATGCAGACTTACCTTTAAAGAGGGTAATGAGATAATGTATGTTGTACACCGAATTCCAGGAATATCCTAGAAAGGTGGAAATAACAAGCGTTAAGTTTTCAGATAAAAATACATCAATGGAAGACAATTATTTAATTAAGCTGAAGAGCATGTGGCCTTCAAAGAAGGACCTCACTTTCTAAATCTCCAGGGAAGCTAGTTTTGTAAAAATCCATCAAAATATTTTAATTACTCTTTTTTTTTTAACCGATACCAGGATATCATACCATGAAGATTCATTATGGGCAAGGAGAACGTCTTATGGGCTCCTTCTTAAAAGAGCATCTAATTGTAGGGCTAGAAGGGACCTTGGGGGTCTTCTACTCCAACCTGCAGGAGATCTTAATTCCATCCTGGACAAATGGCTGTCCAGTCTCTTCTTAAAATCCTCCAATGATGGAGCACCCACAACTTCTGGAGGCAACTTGTTCTATGGATTAATTGTTCTGTCAGGAAGTTTCTCCTTAATTAACCAATTTGTCTCTGAATTTAATGATAGAAAGACGTCCCTCAGTTCACATTGGAATACATTTTGGGGGATGTATATTTTTGTGCAACAACTATAGTAGTATTCAGCCAGTAGATGGCAGTGTTTACAAGTTTGGATCTATGGCATATACTTGATGGTTTTTTTGTCCTAAGTAAAACAGTTAAGCAGTAAAGCACATGGTGATTGTGTCTTTTGTTTGATCTGTGATGCTATATATAAACAGAATTTCTAACAGTTCAGAACATTGCTTACCTTCTTCCAGTTCAGCAGTGACGTGTACGGTAAAAGCTTATCCAGGCTGCTGGATTCCAAGCACATTTTCCAGTGTAAAGAAGCTAAGAACATTGAGAGAAAGATAGCCTCTTGACTGCATCAAGTAAAATACTGCACGCCTCTGTGAAAATTAGCAATACTCTTCGACATAGCTCTATTTGTAAGGGAGTTCCACTGAATTCAGCGGGGTTCACTATCACTAAATGGGATTCAGGATTTCAGTGTTAACATAAGAGTAGTCCTCAACTTACGACCACAATTGAGCCCAGAATTTGCCGTTAAGTGAGATTTATTAAGGGGTTTTTGCCCCATTTTACCAACTTTCTTGCCACAGTTGTTAAGTGAATCACTGCAGTTATTTAGTAACACGGTTGTTAAGTGAATCTGGCTTTCCCCATTGACTTTGCTTGCCAGAAGGTCACAGAAGGGGATCACGTGACCCCGGGACGCCGCAACTGTCATAAATATGAACCAGTTGCCAAGCGTCCGAATTTTGGGGGATGCTGCAAAGGTTGTAAGTGTGAAAAACGGTCACGTAGATTGTAGGGGTGATAGTGAAATATAATTTTATCATATTTTATTTACCTACATCAGGGGTAGGCAACCTTGGCTCTTTTATGACTGGTGGACTTCAACTCCCAGAATTCCTGAGCCAGCATGGCTCAGCTTGGAAACTCTCCCTTTCCCCTCAGCATGGCTGGCTCAGGAATTCTGGGAGCTGAAGTACACGAGTCATAAAAGAACCAAGGATCCCCACCCCTGCCCTATATCAGGGGTCCTCAGCCTTGGCAACTTTAAGACTCATGGACTTCAACTCCCAGAATTCCTGAGCCAGCATGGCTGAACTTGGAAACCTCTCCCTTTCCCCTCAGCATGGCTGGCTCAGGAATTCTGGGTATTGGAGTCCACGAGTCATAAAAGAGCCAAGGTTGCCTACCCCTGACCTACATCTTAAATTGCTCTATTTGATTCTAATTTCATTTTAAATGGTATTTTATTTCTATTTTATTCTGAATTATATTTTAACCAATTCCATTCTAAGTTGTTTTTACTGCATTTTAGTATAACGTGTGTTTGGAACTTTGCACCTTGATATGGCCCGTGGGCTAATCAATAAAGATTATTATTCAAGGAATTTTTTTTTACAGTGCCGTTGTAGCTTTGAACGGTCACTAAACAATCTGTCGTAAATCGAGGACTACCTGTATATATTTTTTTCTTCTTCTCTTGCGGCTCCATTTTAATTGATTACCTCTCCATCCACATTTTGCGAAACTATGGCATACTCTGAAAATACGTTCTGAAGGACCCACGCTACTAACAGCTGCACCCTGGTAGGAAGACCCCAGACATAAAAACACTCACCAATGATTAGTTCCTGTATGGGATCAAATGCAAAACAAGCCGACGCGTTGTCGGAAATCCAGTGGATGATCTGTTCAAAACAGAAAACAAAATCTGATACCATTTGGGCAAGCCGTCACACCGTGTAAAAAGGGAGTTGAATTCCCTGTGATCTGCGGTCTCAGTTTAACGAAGGCTTCGTCACCTACTACTAATCGAGTGAAAAATAAAGCACTTTTCATTTCATAACTACCATGTATAGATTGTCCTCGACTCAGGACGGTCACTGAGCCTGGAATTGCAGTCATTAAGTGGTGTCGGTTATTAAACAGATCACCGTATGACAGTGCCCGATTTTATGAGTTGCTTTGCAGCAGTTGTTAAGAGATCCACCATGGAATTTATTGTCTGCCAGCAGTTCGATCCCGACCGGCTCAAGGTTCACTCAGCCTTCCATCCTTCCGAGGTCGGTAAAAGGGGGACCCAGATTGTTGGGATGCGATACGCTGACCCTGTAAACCGCTTAGAGAGGGTTGTAAAGCACTATGAAGCACCATATAAGTACTATTGCTATTGCTATCTAAACTTTAGTGGCGCAGTGGTTAGAATGCAGAATTGCAAGGTTAACTCTGCCCACTGTCAGGAGTTCGATCCTGACCGGCTCAAAGTTGACTCAGCCTTCCATCCTTCCGAGGCCGGTAAAAGGAGGACCCAGATTGTTGGGGGACAAGATGCTGACTCTGTAAACCGCTTAGGGATAGCTGTAAAGCACTGTGAAGCGGTATATAAGTCTAAGGGCTATTGCTATTCAGCTTAGAGTTCAGCTCAATTTCTGATGTAGCGAATTAACTGAGATATATTACACCATGTGATAACTGGCAACTGACTTGATTCAAAAAAAACACCACCACCAAGAATCCAAAGTGTTTGCTATTTTATACCCAAAGATAAGCAGACCCCGATTTTCGTCACACTACTATAGAGACACCCTCACTCACCTGGTTTTCTAACTCCGTCGTGCTTCCAACGTGTAGAAGAAGACAGTGCAAGGCTGCTAATTTGTCACTATCCGACTGGCTCTTCCACAGGAATTGCAGCAAGGCCTTTGGGTTCATTTCCACGGCAAATATTTTTCCTGTGCTGCGATCCCAGATGCTCGATTTGGCCGGGGAAAAGACGGCGTCAGCGTTCAGTTGATTGATTTCTGCATCTTCAGCTGAAGAAAAACAAAAATTTTAGAGATGGTTCGGTCGCCCCCAGATTGAAACACAGGCTTTCTAGTTAGCTAGAAACGAACTATTTTTGTTAAAAATAAATAAAATAAAGGTACCTGTTAGAAACAAACTGTGGCACGTGAGGTCAGGGTACTGGGTGTTCAGAAGATGTAGGAACTGTCCAGGTAAGTACACAGCCACGTAAGAGCCTATTTGGGGATGAATGTTGTTATTTTTTTTTAACATAATAAATCAAAATGAAGCAACACAGGATTGAGCTGTATGCACTGGGTGCATTATTTATTTGGCCGTTGCGATGTTGACTGTTAAATGGTCCTGAAGGCAGGACAAGAAGCAACGGATGGAAACTAATCAAGGAGAGAAGCAACCTGGAACTAAGGAGAAACTTCCTGACAGTTAGAACAATTAATCAATGGAACTCCTTGCCTGCAGAAGTTGTGAATGCTCCAACACTGGAGGTCTTTAAGAAGAGACTGGACAGCCATTTGTCTGAAATGGTATAGGGTTTCCTGCCTGAGCAGGGGGTTGGACTAGATGACCTCCAAGGTCCCTTCCAACTTTATTATGATTATGATTAAGAAGAGACTGGACAGCCATTTGTCTGAAATGGTATAGGGTTTCCTGCCTGAGCAGGGGGTTGGACTAGATGACCTCCAAGGTCCCTTCCAACTTTATTATGATTATGATTATGATTAAGAAGAAGAGACTGGACAGCCATTTGTCTGAAATGTATAGGGTTTCCTGCGTGAGCAGGGGGTGGACTAGAGGTGAACTCCAAGGTCCCTTCCAACATTATTATTATTATTATTATTATTATTATTATTATTATTATTATTATTAGGAAGAGACTGGACAGCCATTTGTCTGAAATGGTGTAGGGTTTCCTGCCTGAGCAGGGGGTTGGACTAGATGACCTCCAAGGTCCCTTCCAACATCATCATAATAGGTAGACAAAATGCCAAATCCAGTCTGAACATCTGGCTGACTGTGCGATGATGATAATAATGATAATGATAATGATAATGATAATGATAATGATAATGATAATGATAATGATAATGATAATAATAATAATAATAATAATAATAATAATAATAATAATAATAATAATAAAAAATAAAAAACTAGACTACAGGTAGTCCTTGACTTGTAACAGTTCATTTAGGGACCGCTCGAAGTTACAACAGCACTGAAAAAAGGGACTTGTGACGGTTTTTCATACTTAGGACCGTTGCAACATCCTGAAGGTCATGTGATCCAAATTCAGATGCTTGGCAACTGGCTCATATTTACGACGGTCATAAATATGATCCCCTTTTATGACATTTTGACAAGCAAAATCGATGGAGGAAGCCCGATTCACTTAACAACCGGGTTATTAACTGAACAACTGCAGCGATTTCACTTAAGGCTTGTAGCAAGCAAGGTCGTAAAACGGGAGCCTAACTCACTTAACCCGTGTCTCACTTAGTGACCGAAGTTTCGGGCTCAGTTGCAACCGTACGTCGAGGGCTATACCTCTATTCCTATTTCGTATTCAGGCAATGCAATTTGGCTCCCTTTGCGAAACGATTCTAATGTTATGGGATGTTTCCACAGGAAGTAAAGCATCTGAGGAATTCAAATGCTTCCCTTCAAGAAAAAGGCCAAGTCTTATGACTGTCTATAGGCAATTAAAACTCTCTGTTTCTGCCAAGCAAGAAGGAAGCCAATTTTGAAATAGTTCGTTTATTTGGCAAACCAGATTTATGGGGTGTCGGGAAATGATCACGGCAGATCCCAGAGACAAAGGCAAAATAAAATACGTGTGTTCCAGCTTTTCAGTAGAAATAGCTCCCAAATATCCTTCTATCAGAAGGGTCTTTCGTTTAGAGAAGCAGAAGAGGAAGAGGGGGGTTAAATGATCAATTTACCAAGATCCAAAAAAACCAGCTCCTTCTTCATTTGTATAGAATCCATTTCTTCCAAAGTGCTAGTATATGTTTTACTATAGCCTGTAAAGAGGAAAACACAAAGGTGTAGGTAATATAACTTCTTCCAATTCTCTATCTATCTATCATCTATCTATCTATCTATCTATCTATCTATCTATCTATCTATCTATCTATCTATCTATCTATCTATCTATCTATCATCACAAGCACAAAGTCCAGGAGTGGTTTCCAAGTAGAAACAAAGTTAGATGTGTTCTTTTCTTTGATTAAAGCAGCCAATTTAGTCATCTTTTTCCCCCCCCTATTGTGAGAAGTAATATACATTTCTATTTACACTTACTAATCTTTGTAGACCGTCATCATTTATATTAACAAAATTCACTATATTCTTTCAAATTCCATAACCTTAAAGGGATATAAGAACCGTGGTGGCACAATGGTGAGAATGCAGTATTGCAGGCTGAACTCTGCCCAGAGCCAGGAGTTCGATCCTGACCGGCTCAAGGTTGACTCAGCCATCCGTCCTTCCGAGGTCGGTAAAACGAGGACCCAGATTGTTGGGGGCAACACACTGACTCTGTAAACCACTTTGAGAGGGCTGTAAAGCACTGTGAAGCAGTATATAAGTCCAAGTGCTATTCCCACTACTATATAAAACAAAGGTTTTCCATTTAAGGCAGGTTTATAACTTCTGAAAGTGACACGAATTAAACCTGGAATGTAAACAAGCGATTTAGGGCAAGTTTCCATCTCCGTTTTACAAACCGCGGAACGGGCTTCAAATTAACCATTAGATTTGTGTGTTCTACACGGAAAGATCTAGAGGGAGTACACTGCTACAGCTACAAATGAAGGATAGAGAAAACATTTCATGCGCAGTCTGCTGTTCTGATGGTGAATTTTTAAATAGAGAGCATGACGGGATTTCAAACAGGAGGTAGAGTTCAAATAAAAGAAGGCAGTTTTAAGTAACAGTTCCCTGCAAAGGTCTTCCAATGGACCTGTTTCTTTAAAGACATCGTGAAATGTATATATATATCTTTGAAATGCATCCTTAAAAGTCTGGGCAGAACATCCTAGAGCTGCAAAGTCATGCAAATTTATCAGGAAATAACTTCCCTTGAACATTTTTGTATTTGTATCTTGCGTTTATTATTTTTGGCAAATAACTCATGGTGGCGAACAGATCCAAGGCACCTTTCTCCTCCTGTTTTCCCAACAACAACCCTCTGAGGTAGGCTGGGCCGAGATTGAGTGACGAGCCCAAAGTAACTCAGCTGGCTTTCCTGGCTAAGGTGGGACTTGAACTCGCCGTCTCCTGCTTTCTAGCCTGGTGCCTTAACCGCTAGATCAGTGGTTCTCAACCTTTTTAATGCCGCGACCCCAACCGGTCGTAAGTCGAGGACTAAACCGGTCGTAAGTCGAGGACTAAACTGGTCGTTAAGTCGAGGACTAAACCGGTCGTAAGTTGAGGACTACCCAGCCGGTCATAAGTCAAGGACTTTCCCTGCCCGAGAGCGCCGCGCATGCGTGGTTCCGCCCCCTGCGCCGGCTGAGGCGTATCTGGCAAGCGGCAGAGACGGAGCAGGCCGACCACCAGCTGGCCCAGCCCAAGGGAGGTAAGGCACCCGCCAGAAAAGGGGGGAAAAATGGCGGACAAAAAAAATGGCGGACAAAAAAATGGCGGACAGCCTTGCTTGGCGACCCCCATGAAATGGTCGATCGACCCCAAATGGGGTCCTGACCCACAGGTTGAGAACCACTGCGCTAGATCAAACTGCCTCTCCATTCACCATGAATCAATATAACATTCTGGCTAATTTTGTAAGAGAGAATATAAACTTGCCTTTGTGTAGGAAAGCCACAGAATATGTCACTTCTTTGGCATTCGTAGCGGCCAGGCTGTAACACAAACACAAGCTTCCTAAGGAAGGAAAGATATCTATTAAGAAACTGAAAATATGGAGTTTCCACGTTTGTTTGTTTTTTTGAGATTTTGAAGGAAGCAAGCATCCTTCTCTTGTACACAAACCTGTGTCGCTGGTAAAAATATGCACGTCCAAAGGTTTGGGTGTAACTTCTTGGTCTTGATAACAGCTATAATTCAAGTTCACAGATCTGGGAAGAGAAAACAGGAGATACTACTGCATCTTAATAATGATGATGATGACGATGACGATGTTGGAAGGGACGTTGCAGGTCATCTACTTTACTGAAATACATGCCATACTCTAAATAAACCAATAAACTGAAATTCATAATCCTTGCGAAAGGAATCAACAGGGATGTCTGTAACACAAGTACACTGTTTCATTGTAAAGATGCTGATGATAATAATAATAATAATAAAGTTGGAAGGGACCTTGGAGGTCATTGAGCCCAACCCCCTGCTCAGGCAGGAAACCCTATACCATTTCAGACAAATGGCTGTCCAGTCTCTTCTTAAAAACTTCCAGGGTTGGAGCATTCACCGCTTCTGGAGGCAGGTTGTTCCACTGGTTAATTGTTCTAACTGTCAGGAAGTTTCTCCTTAGTTCTAAGTTGCTTCTCTCCTTGATCAGTTTCCATCCGTTGCTTCTTGTCCTGCCTTCAGGCACTTTGGAGAATAGCTTGACTCCCTCTTCTTTGGGGCAGCCCCTGAGATACTGGAACACGGCTATCATGTCCCCCCTGGTCCTTCTCTTCATTAAACTAGATGATTGATTTTAACTCAGTTTAACTATTTTGGAAGGATAGGCATACGGTCCCAACAACTCAAATGATTTGAAGAGGTGAGGTCCATTAGCAACATGCAAACTACTCAGTCATGTAGATTAGCTATCCATGATTACAATGATACAGCTATGACGGGTTGAAACGCTTACGCAGAATTCTCCTTACACCTATTTGTGAATATGTACCATCTAGGCTGGCTGAGGAATTCTGGGAGTTGAAATCCACAAGTCATCAAAGGGCCAAGTTTGAAGACCCTTGTTTTAGAGGATTGCGGGGCGATTTTTTTTTTTCATTTTTATATGCTTTTCAATTTTTTTAAAAAATATTGTATTTACAGTATTACATTCACAGAAGCAAAGAGAAATTTCCCCCCCAGTAAACTCACTTTAATCTTATGTCAGCCACAGAGATCTCTAAAGGTGCTTCGAGCTGTTTAAAAAACAAAAAGAGATATGAGGATTTTGCAAGCAACACTATTTCTGTTGAACACAGAACATCAACCCCAAAGAGTCCCCAATAAGAATAAAACCAGTTCTATAGTGCCTCCTACTGGTCAATACATAATATAACGTATCTAGGCTTTACATTATGCTCTGCTCCTGGTTTGAGATACCCTTTAACTTTTGGAAGTATTGATTTGTTAAAGGAGGCAGGTCACATGTGTTTAATAACCAGCGTGCACTGAAATACACAAGGAGTAGATGTTAAATTCACATATACTGCACTAAACCATGATGTAAATTTGCTTGCTTCCAAATAATGTCTGAATGCAATCAAACGTGGCTTATTTAAATTTGGTTTAACCCTGTATATATGCGATTTTTGTTTACGATTTAAAAATGGATATTATCCTTTCCATTCATCATCGCCCAAAAAAAAACCCTCCACATAGTTTAACATTACTTTCAATATAAAAAACCTTCAGGAGAACTTACTATTAGTTTAAAGTCTTTATTGGGGTAAAATTGGATGCAATTTAATGTGTCCCGTTCTTTCTACAATAAAAAAAAAACCATAATATTAACAGAGACTAAAGTTTGATCTGTGGAGGTAAACATTATCCTGGCTCCAGAAAATCTAAATTATTATTTTTTTAAATTGCAAATGAAAGCTTCTCAACAGATTCTTCACGGTGGACCAAAAAAAAAAAAGGGGGGGGCAGAGTAATTGATTTGCATCTTTTCTTTTGCAACATACTTTGAGCTCTCCCTGATCAGATGATGCAAAATTAAGATTTTCATTAAGAGAAGAGTCAACAAATGCAGACTGTAGCTGCAAGTTATTATTATGGCATATCCAACTGAATACAGGTTGTCCGTGACTTACAAGAGTTTGTTTAGTGATCATTCAAAATTACAAAATTACAATACACCTTTGGTATTATGAATTAACCAGCCGTATATTTCATTCGCGAGAAAAATCCCTTGGTTTTCAGTTACAAGAGCTTTAATTAGTAACTTCGATGGTATCTGGAAAAATAAATCCTATTGTTTTAGTGCATGGATCCATTTTCTATCAAGACATCAGATTCTGACACGAAACAGCATAATTTTCATTCAGAGGAGAACCAAAATCAAAGATAAGATAAGATAAGGAAGGATGAAAGAAACAATGTCATTTACAAAATCAATTTGCAATCAGTTCTACGTGGGACAAACCTCACGTCAATTAAAAAACAGGATCCACGAACACCGGCTGGCAGTCAAATGCCACAATCACAATCAAATGCCTGGCTGAGGAATTCTGGGAGGGGTCTTCAAACTTGGCCCTTTCATGATTCGTGGACTTCAACTCCCAGAATTCCTCAGCCAGCGTGCCTGGCTGAGGAATTCTAGGAGGGGTCTTCAAACTTGGCCCTTTCATGACTGGTGGACTTCAACTCCCAGAATTCTTCAGCCAGCGTGCCTGGCTGAGGAATTCTGGGAGGGGTCTTCAAACTTGGCCCTTTCATGACTGGTGGACTTCAACTCCCAGTATTCCTCAGCCAGCGTGCCTGGCTGAGGAATTCTGGGAGGGGTCTTCAAACTTGGCCCTTTCATGACTGGTGGACTTCAACTCCCAGAATTCCTCAGCCAGCGTGTCTGGCTGAGGAATTCTGGGAGTTGAAGTCCACATAGTCATAAAAGGACCAGGTTTGAAGACCCCTGCTCTACACCATCATAAACCAGATTTTTTTTAATCCCACCTTTATTATTGTTATAAATAACTCATGGTGACAAATGTGCCTAATATTTCTTCCTCCTTTTTCCCACAAAAACAATCCTGTGAGGTGGGTTAGGCTGAGAGGGAGGGACCGGCTCCAAGTCACCCAATCAGCTTTCATGCCTAAAGTGGGACTAGAACGCACCGTCTCCAGGCTTCTTGCCTGACCAAACTGGTTAACAATTTATGTTATAGTTCTGGAGCCAATTTTGTAACTGGCCTCACAATTTTTAAAAAATATTTCCTTGTAACAAGGGAGAGAAGACAGAGCAAGATTATTATTTCTTTTTCTCTTGAAAAGTCTTCCAGGGATGACCTCAATCTCCTCTATAGGTCAATAGCTCCTTTTATCATTTTAAGATGGGGGTCAAACTGCTGCTAGCAAATAACCCACCACGTAAAGAATAAGCGAACTATATGATCAAGAAAACACAAACGTTTTCACGTTTTTTTCACCTTTGTGACAATGTAGAAGAGTCTTTGTTCTCGCATGTCCCACTGGGACCAAATCAGATCATCGGCAATTCTCTCCTTCGAAAGCCGACTCAAATTTTCGATCGTCTAAAAGGGATGGAAATGAGCACCGTTACAGGAGAGAAATAGTACAATGTCAGGTCAAACACAGAAGACAGAATGAATAGGATTGGAAGGGACCTTGGAGGTCTTCTAGTCCAACCCCCTGCTCAAGCAGGAGACCCTATACCAGTTCAGACAAATGACTGTCCAGTCTCTTCTTAAAAATCTCCAGTGATGGAGCACCCACAACTTCTGGAGGCAGGTTGTTCCACTGATTAACTTTTCTCATTATCAAGACATTTCTCCTTAGTTCTAGGTTAGATCTCTCTTTAATAAGATTCCACCCATTACTTCTTGGCCTGACCTCAGTTGCTTTGGATAATAGGTTAGAATAGAGCTGGAAGGGACCTTGGAGGTCTTCTAGACCAGCCCCCTGCTCAAGCAGGAGAACCTATACCATCTCAGACAAGTGATTGTCCAGTCTCTTTTTAAAAGCTCCAGTGATGGAACACCCACGATTTCTGGTGGTAAGCTGTTCCACTGGTTAATTGTCTTCACTGTTAGGAAGTTTCTCCTTAATTCCAGGTTGCTTCTCTCTTTGGTCAGTTTCCAACCATTGTTTCTTGTCCTGCCTTCAAGTGCTTTGGAGAATAGCTTGACCCCCTCTTCTTTGTGGCAGCCCCTCAAATACTGGAAGACTGTTATCACGTCACCCTAGTCCTTCTCTTTGATAGACTAGACATATCTAGTTCCCTCAATCATTCATCGTGTGGTTTAGCCTGCAGATCTCTGATAATCTTTATTGCTCTTCTCTGCACTCTTTCTCAGATCTCAACAGCTTGTATTCTGATGGCAATGAGTTTCATCTTACCTTGTAATAATTCAACAAAAACCACACCAGATCTCTGCCCAGGTAATTCTTTTTTACATCTTGAAATACGACATTTAGAACAAAACATTGGGGCGTTTTTCACTCTGCCCAATCTCATTTCAGCCCCAACAAAAAAAAAGCATAAAGGGCAAAAAAATTAAAACATACCACCCAGTCTCCTTCTTTGACAGTTCTGATGTCCAATTTTTCAGCATCTTAAGAAAGATTAATACAATTTTAGGCGACAGGGGTCAAGGTATAGAGTATCAGGTATATCGAACGTGATTTAAGAAATCTGTACGTTGGGTCTATACATTTGTTCGTTTCTGTTATCAGGGTTCAAAAGAGAGGCTGAAAGAGCAAATAACATGTAGCAACAAAATAATACTAATACTAATACTAATAATAGAATAGAGCTAGAAGGGACCTTGGAGGTCTTCTAGTCCAGTCCCCTGCTCAAGTAGGAGAACCTATACCATTTCAGACAAGTGACTGTCTAGTCTCTTCTTAAAAACCTCCAGTGATGGAGCGCCCACGATTTATGGTGGCAAGCTGTTCCACTGGTCAATTGTCCTCACTGTTAGGAAGTTTCTCCTTAATTCCAGGTTGCTTCTCTGATTAGTTTCCAACCATTGTTTCTTGTCCTGCCCTCTGGTGCTTTGGAGAATAATTTGACCCCCTCTTCTTTGTGGCAGCCCCTCAGATACTGGAATACTGCTATCAAGTCACCCCAATTTTATTTTTGGTTAATTCAGCAGAATACAATTATCTGAAGAAGTCGTCCCATTTATTCCTGTCCATAAACTCTGTCATTCTGTATAAAGGTGGAGAAAACAAGGGAAACAACATACAGGCAGCATTTCCTATAGGCAGTTCTGATATGTATGTGTGTTGGTGTTCCTATTGCCTTTTAACACGCTAAAGCTAGAATCTGCCCAAGGAACTTGCAATCAGAATGCAGAACTGAAAGCACTTACATTTATCTTCTGAAATGAGTAGGAGGCAGCTACTTGACAACGAGGTTTTATCTGCAACGGGATATAGAAACTGAAAAAGAGAATTGTTCAGAGATTAAAAAAATATATTATGGTTTGCCACCGGCATCGCATAAGGGAGACTCATAATTGGATCTTATTAACATAACTTGTTATTTGAGGGACTGCCTTCACCCAACTATATCTGCCTGTCCCATCCGATCCAGAAGTAATAGTATATTTGTTGCTCAGGGTTCAGCTGTGGGGCTTTGTTAGTGCTCTCTGTGTGTGGCTATTTCCTTGCAGACGTTTCATTACCAGACTAGGTAACAGCATCAGTGGCGATGATGTAACTTGGTTTGGTAATGAAACGTCTGCAAGAGAACAACACAATTCAGAGAGCACCAAGGACCCCACAATCCTCCTTACAAAGATGCAAGGCACTTCAGTGCTTTCCAACATTCTTTTGTTGTTGTTAGTTGCGAAGTCGTGTCTGACCCATTGTGACCCCATGGACAATGTTCCTCCATGCCTTCCTGTCCTCTACCATCTTCTGGAGTCCATTGAAGCTCATGCCTCCTGCTTCAGTGACTCCATCCAGCCCCCTCATTCTCTGTCGTCCCCTTCTTCTCTTGCCCTCCATCTTTCCCAGCATTGGGCTCTTCTCCAGTGAGTCCTTCCTTCTCATTAGGTGGCCAAAGTCCTTGAGTTTCAACTTCAGGATCTGGCCTTCTAAAGAGCAGTCGGGGTTGATCTCCTCTAGGACTGACCGGTTGGATCGCCTTGCAGTCCAGGGGACTCGCAGGAGTCTTCTCCAGCACCAGAGTTCGAAGGCCTGCATTCTTTGGCGCTCAGCCTTTCTTATGGTCCAACTTTCACAGCCATACATTGCAACTTGGAAAACCATGGCCTTGACTATACGGACTTTTGTTGGCAGGGTGATGTCTCTGCTTTTTAGTGTGCTGTCTAGATTTGCCATAGCTTTCCTCCCCAGGAGCAAGCATCTTTTAATTCCAGCATTCTACTAGCATACAAATAATTTTCGAATCTGGAGGGGGAAAAATTAATAAAAACCACTTACTTGTACTCTGACCAAGCTATCCACAGCCTTCAAAACTTTCACATTATTAAGCGGGTGAATTTCAATGAGCAAGGTCAGACATTTAGGAACTGGAATAGTAAAGAAACAAAAAACAAAGAAGAGAAGGTTAATCCATCATTCAGTGGGTTTGCGAAGTCCATTTAAGGGCGTTGAGANAGAAGAAGAAGAAGAAGAAGAAGAAGAAGAAGAAGAAGAAGAAGAAGAAGAAGAAGAAGAAGAAGAAGAAGAAGAAGAAGAAGAAGAAGAAGAAGAAGAAGAAGAAGAAGAAGAAGAAGAAGAAGAGGCAAAGTCAACAAGAAGAAGAGGCAAAGTCAACAAGAAGAAGAGGCAAAGTCAACAAGGGAAGCCAGATTCCTTTAACAACCATGTTAACTAACTTAACAAGTGCAGGGATTAATTTAACAGCCAGTGGCAAGAAAATTCGTAAAATGGGGCAAAACTCACTGAAGAATTGTCTCACTTAGCAACATAAATTTTGGGTTCAACTGTGGTCGCAACCCTTACCTGTCACAGGGTTCTCTCCTAAATTTTATACTATTGGCTGAATGTTATTATGTTGAACTTTTGATTTTTACCGCTCACTTTGCCTAGTTTTGCTTATATATGTTGATTTAACCAGACTTCATGTTTGCTGAGTTCACCGCAAAAGATACAGTTTTGTTGGAAACAAACTGGCTTGTAACCTTAAAGACAACATTTGACTATCAAACGGCATTTAATCCTTACAGTTTCAGTAAATAACGCCTACCTGGTTTTTTTTATCATCATCATCGTACAATCCAACGTGGGTGCATTCCTGGGGTCCCTGTAAAGAAAGTGGTTGAGTTTTAAATATTCATATTTTAACCCCATTTTAAATATTTACTCTCCATTATGAAAATGCTTTCTCTGTCGAAACTTCATCAGTTTTATTTTGGGGTTATCGACAGTCTGGGATATGCCTAAATTTAAAAGGTGGCATCTATCCTTCCATCGTCAGAAAACGGTACTTTATTCCTCTATGTCAACCTGCTCTTAGTACATAAAAAAAAAAAGACAGAGGAAAAATAATGAAGGTTATTTTTCTTCATTAAAAAAAAATAGAAAGCTTAGAATCCTATTTATGCCATGGCGTCTTTCAGTCGTTAATCCTATGTTAAGAAAACCTAACTTGATTTTAATGTAATCCCTTGTTTTTTATTTTGTTCGTTGCTTGGGATTATTTGGACAGAGAGGGATGGTCGTGTATCTGATAACATAAAATAAAAATGTAAACTTCCCATCACCTTTTTCTCGGTGCAGAAAAGTAGCGTGAACGCATGGAGATCCCTTCCTGATACTCTTTTCATTTTGGTATCATTTATTTCATTCTTCGTCCGTGTCCCCATCTCTTTGTCACCTAGCAAAAACTACGTTGGGAAATTAAAAACTCACTAAGGTTGATCTTAGAGTGCAGAGAAGAGCAACAAAGATGATATGGGGACTGGAGGCTAAAACATCCAATGAACAGTTGGGGGGCCTAGGTACATCTTGTCTAATGAAGAAGAGATTTAGGGGTGACATGTCCTTGAGTTGTCCTTGAGAAGAGGGGGTCAACCTATTCTCCAAAGTATCTGAGAATAGGGCAAGAAGTAACGGGTGGAAGATTGTTAAAAGAGAGAAGCAACCTAGAACTAAAGAGGAATTTCCTAAGAGTGTGAACAATTAACCAGTGGAAGCGTCCATAAGTTGTAGGTGCTCCATCACTGGAGGTTTGGAAGAAGAGATTGGACAGCCATTTGTCTGAAATGGTCTAGGACAGGGGTAGGCAATCTTGGCTCTTTTATGACTCGTGGACTTCAACTCCCAGAATTCCTGAGCCAGCCTGGCTCAGCTTCGAAACCTCTCTCTTTCCCCTCAGCATGGCTGGCTCAGGAATTCTGGGAGTTGAAGTCCACGAGTCATAAAAGAGCCAAGGTTCCCCATCCCTGGTATAGGCTCTCCTGCTTGAGCAGGGGGTTGGACTAAAAGACCTCCAAAGACCCCTCTGTTAATCTGTATTCTGGTGTTGTATTTCCCTTCATTTTGCTGAGCAATGGATCTCATTCTTCAGGCCCAACTCAAGATTCCATTGACGGTAAAATCTACTTGCCCCGGGGAATCACATATGACCATTTCTCAAGTAAAAAAAACCAAATTGCCCTTACCTTCCAAGTATAAAGAACATTTCCATTTCTTTCCACGTTTATGATATGCGGCGTTTCCAAATGATTTTCCCCAGCATCTAAAAAAGGGAAGCATGAATGTATTACAAACTCACTCAGTCCAATTGTACAGGAAAGTCAACGTCTGAAAAGAATGTGCAAACATGATGTAAGACAAGGGTCCCCGACCTGTGGGTCACGGCCCGGTACCGGTCCGTGGCCTGTTGGCCACAGGAATGGCTGGCGAGTGAGCACACGTGTGCTTGCACCCTTCCCAATTGTGCTAGTGCCGCCATGCGGGTGCTAGCAGCCCCGTTTGCACATGGCTAGCACCGCCGCCAGCATCACGCAGGTACTAGTGCCCTGTTTGCACATGCGCGCATGCACTAGCAGCCCATTTGCGCATTCGTGCAGGTGCCAGCACTGCCACCAGCGCCGCTGTGGGTGCATGCACCCCGCTTGTGCTAGTGCCGCTGCCGGGCGTGTGCCTGTTTTGCGCATGCACACGCCTGTACATTTCCCTGCTCCTTCCTTTCCCTCCGGGCCACTAATCCGGAAAGGTTGGTAAGCTCTGATGTAAGAGATGAGCTGGCTGAGCTGGAAGGTGGGGTTAAATGTGTCATCAGTTGAGAATCACTGCATAGGCACGAGAAACCTGTGTTCAACTCCCCCATGAATACTGTTGACTCTTATCTAGTGCCAATTTGACCATCCGTTGACCACCTTCTTCGGTACAGGTAGCAATCTAGGTAGCCCTCAACGTACGCCCACAGTTGAGCCCAAAATTGACGTTGCTAAATGAGACATTTGTTAAGTGAGTTTTGCCCTCATTTTACGACCTTTCTCGCCACAGCTGTTCAGCGAATCACTGCAGTTGTTAAGTTACTAACACTGTAACTTCAGTGCTAGTAAATCTGTCTTCCCCATTGACTTTTCCGGTCGGAAAGTCATAAAAGGAGATCACGCAACTTTGGGACATGGGAACCGCCATAAATATGAGTCAGCCGTAAAGCAGTTGAATTTTGATCCCATGACCAAGGGCAGGGATAGGCAACCTCGGCTCTTTTATGACTCATGGACTTCAACTCCCAGAATTCCTGAGCCAGCCATGCTGAGGGGAAAGGGAGAGGTTTCCAAGCTGAGCCATGCTGACTCAGGAATTCTGGGAGTTGAAGTCCATGAGTCATAAAAGAGCCGAGGTTGCCTACCCCTGACCAAGGGGAATGGTGCAACGGTCATAAGTGTGAAAAACGGTCATCAGTCACTTTTTCCAGTGCCGTTGTAATTTTGAATGGTTACTAAATGAATTGTTTTAAGTCAAGGTCTACCTGTAAAGAACTCTGCTATGCTTTGAACTCAACAAAAGCTCCTGGTTCACACCGTGTTTACAGTCAATTCGAATGCAGTAAAAATAACTTTTCCCAGCTTTGTTCAGCG